TTACAATTACCCGAATTTTAGTCAGATAAGTATTTGCAATTTATTATTAACTTATCCCGTTATATAATATACTCCTCATTATTAACAAACCAAATTTAGATACTATGAAAACTAATTTCGGATTTGGCGATCGGGTTCATTCACGAATTATTTAGTATGGGGGATCGCTCGATCTTCACTGGCAATCGTGAATAAAAAATTTAGCTAAGGTAGACCCAAAAGGTCATTGCTCTGCAATAAGTGTGGTTAGCAATCGAACACTCCCACTATGGTACCTTTGCATTTATTCTTTACTATAACGAAGCTATCTCTCGTGCATATGTGTGCTTATATTTATTTGGATTAAGCAATTGCAAGTATTGAGTCGGGTTATCGATAAACTTACCTGATGTTTTATGCCTGTTGTTCCTTAATTTAGCCATACTAACCTATTTACAGTAATTTACTCGATTCAAATTTAGATTATATTATGGAGTGTACAAATCACTTTTCTTAGATTTTTGAATCTCTACTGAAATCGTCATTTGATCTTCTGGACGTTGGAGGTATGTTGTAAAATATTCTGTGATGTCTCTTTCGGTATTTATTATCTTTGCTTCTGAGAGATAATTTTTTGAGCATATTCGTGAGCTCCTCCAAAGTTAGATCGGGTTTAGGCCTCAAGTCAGAAGTAGTCATAAAATGGCTAGGCATGCATTTCTTCTTTTGAGGACGATTGTAAGAATTGAAGTTAGATGAATTGGTCTCTGTTTCAGAATCAGAAGAATCAAATGGGTTATTTTTAGTGGAGCTAGTTCTATTACTATTTTCTTCAATTAATGGGATACTCATACCATCTATTACAATTTTAGCATTGTGGCTACAGGTTTCAGAAGAAAATCCAAAGCTCATTTTTGCTCTATGCATCCATAACCATTCTTGTCCCAGAACCAAATCGAATGATGGATTTTTGCAAATTTGAAAGTCTATTACTTCGGTGCCAACTAAGCTTCGCCACTTTCCTTTATAGTAAAACTGTAAATCTAAGCATTTTATTTCTTCGCCTATCAAATCATCATCGGATATACCTTCTAACCCATAATCTTCTTCAAGCTTATTAAACAAGCGCCTGCTGACAGTATTAAACTTTGACGATGTATCTATTAATGCTTTAACTGGGATTTTTCCTTCTATGAGTGTTTCTATGAAAGCCATGTTAAATATTATTTAATGATATATTATAATCGAAAAAATTGTATTTTTTTATTGCGTATTAATAAATAATAATTCAACTATTACAATGGTCGAAGTTAATAATCCCGAGACAATGCAAAGTGTCTGTAAAAAATTTGAAGCAATGTTAAAACAACAGAGTATAAATGATTCAGGTTCAAAATGTCCAATTATCACTTATGAGATTGCGAAAAAATTGGGTTTGGAAATAAATAAAAGTTTACCCAATAGCGAAGCTAGTGCCAAGGCACATACTACCGATAAAGCGGTATCTGGTATTGTTAAGCAAGTATTGGATAAAAAAATCTGGATCTCTCTTCACCAATTACTGGAAATAGTAAAACCTGAGATTCAGCAAGATATTATAAACTTGATAGCAGACCTGGATATTTCCCGAAGAAATCGTACACCATCTGAGGCCAAAAGAAAAAAGAGATTTTTAAATGATACAGCATCTGAGACAACATCCATATCTGAGTCTGGGTCTAGTTCTGAATCATCTAGTGATGAAGATTTTACTGTGGATGTGGCAAAAGCAAAGAAGCGTGATTAGTAATTAATCTATATCATAGATTCGGAATGGTTTTGCCTGTTCAGGTGAAGTATTCCTAGGCCTGTAATTCACTACAATGTAATTCTGTACTGAAGAAGTATAATTACACGAATTGTGCCTAAGACACTCTTCAGCGATTGTCATTAAATGAGCTGGATTTTTGGCTCGGTGCACCACAGCACCGTAGACCGCCCCTAATTTACGTAAGTATTTCGGAATTAAATCATATTCTTTTAAGAATCTATTGAACCATTTAACTCCTGGCTTACCTGGATCACCCATTCGTCCAGATGATATAGCACGCTAAATCCAAGTGAGTAGTTCTTTGGCTCGTTCTTGATTCTTTTCCATCAATCTAAATTTTCTAGGAATATCTGGCTGACCTCTGTTTTTCGCATAACCCATTACTCCAGAGTCTGTAATACGTAAAGTTGTAAGTTCAGCGGGCCGTATACAAAGCATTATCATAACATCTGCGAGAGCTTGTAAATCAGGCAGGATAGAAATATCATACTTATCTAATCTTTTCTTAACTGATTCTAATGTAAAGTGGTCTGGATAATCAATTCTCTCGAATGCCTCGACAAATTTACGTCGATCTCTCTGAATTTCATTGGCATCTTTTGTAATATCAGGAAATTTCGTAGCTTCGATTATTTGGAATGAAGTGCCAAGATTTTTTAGTTCTCTTCGGAGTCGGGAAAGACGTGATGAGCCAGCATTGGCGTTTGGCGCTGAATTGGCTAAAGCACGAGCTTCAGCTTTTACAACACTAGCACTGAGATTATCTCGCATAATTCGATGTGCCATTTCTCTGATAGTTTCTTCTGAATTTTGTGAAGTTGGATAGGGAATTTGGTAACTATTAGAAGTTGCAAGATTTATGACTTTAGTTTTACCACTTCTCTAGTTGGGTATCAATATACTCACCTGTTCACTACTAAATTTAAAGCCATCCCGAAGGCGTCTGCGTGCCTGATTCCGCTTTCTATCATCAGTAAGATTCTCGAGAAACTCTGAGATATATTGACCAAGTTCTGATATATCCATCTTTGAGGTGAGTTTATATTTCTCAACGATTTTTGTTGCAATAGCTGACATTGTTAGATTTTATAGTAGGTCAAGTAGTTTATGAGCAATTCTTTAGATTATATACACTATAAAATTAATTTTTCAAATCGAAGATTTTAGAATCCGTAGCTTTACATAATAGGATAACCAAAAATATAGAAGGTATCAAAGAGGATATAGCATTACTTAAAATAATCAATATACACGTATGCCAGGTATATGATTACACTTCGTGCATAGAATCGGGGAAGTCAGATATATAATTCTTAAACCTGGTAATTTGTACACATAACTCATCCTGCTTTTTTCTGTCATAATTCTCTTTACTTTTATATTTTTCTACATGTTTATTGCATGCATTATATTTAGACCTATTTGGCTCACCACAATCTCTACAAGGAGTAGGTATTGGAGAATTATGATGAATATAACATCTTTCTGATTTACTACGTCGACCACAGATTTCTCCAGTTCTATAAATATATAAGCAATGGTATAATATCATCGTGATTATATATAATAATTACTTCAATCAAATATATAATTTTTTGGCGTCCAGCTAAAATTTCTGGAATAATTAATTTTATTTTAAAGATTTATCTACCAATTAATATAGTTTTAATAACATATACTTTTTGTCAGATCGAACAACGTGCATATACAAACAACATATATACAAATTAATAAAATGAGTTTGTCTAGTAAAGCAAAAAAATATCTTCATGAATCGTTACAGCAACAGTGCTTAAATCAAAAGTTAGCCAAATATAATGAAGCAAAAAGACTTTTTACGGGTTTAACGGATCTTGATTATAAACCTGGCCATAGAGAACATATATTTTATAAATACTGGCTTGCATCCAGGCCCAAAGAGGTGACCCTAAAGGGTCATGGCCATACCAGCTCTTCTGATAGAAACGATACTGCGTTTTTAGATGCATATCGTCCTGAAGAGATTTATTCTCAATATATAATTCGGATGGCAGGAAAAGGTTATACAGTGATCGATCATCCCTTTGAAGTTTATAGAATACCTGATACCCACGAATGTATCGATGGAAACCAGCCCCTTCGTTTAATAATCGATATTGATGCAAGGCAAAAGCCTGATCCTACTAATTCTAAACTTCCTTCTCTAGATGGTGAAAAAATTACTCGAGAAGATTTGTTATCTCAAATTTTAGTTGCTTGTGCAGATGCATTAAGCCTTATTCCAGAATATATGCCTTTCTTAAATTCTTTTGCGTTAGCAAGTTCATCAAATACTGGGAAATGTAGTTGGCATATTATTTATCTTCGTGCCCAATTTGTAGATTATAGAGAACTTAAGGGATTCACAGAAAAGGTTATAGAATTAGTTGGAAAACCTTATTCGAAATTTATTGATATCGGTCTTCCTAAAACACATTTTAATCTTTGGCTTCTAGAATCAGCAAAGGAAGGTCGTATAAAAAGACCTGCCATTTCTTCTGTTAAAAACGGATTTAAAAATTTAGATGATTATCTGGTTCAGCCTAAAGAGAATTCTTCTGTGATCTGGCCACGAACCTTTTCTGATGAGAAGCCAGCAGAAGAGGAATTTAACCTATTAATGATGATGATGCTTTGGTTAAAGGAGCTAATTTAGTTATTGAAAAATATGGGTGGCTCCAGATTGGAAGAGCCGAGAAAGGGTTCATCAACTTTCAAGCACAATCTGTTAAAGAATGCCCTATATGTGATGTTAAACATGAAAAAGACCAACTCTACGGATTTATTCGAAAAAATAGACATTTTATACTCAAGTGCTATCGGCAAAAACAATATAAACCAGATCACAAAGGGCTTAGTTTCGATAAGGTATCAGATAAAGTCGAATCAGAAGTGAAACTCAAGAAGTGGGGATTAATTGAAAGATTGCCCAAGGCTGTAAAACATCCACGCCCACTCGTAGAATTATCAGGAAATAATATTAATGTTAAGGAAATGGAGAACGCCCCAGAAGCTTATCCAGATTTCATGAGTGGGAACCTACTACAACCCTAATTCGCTCACCCGTTGCCAGTGGAAAAACAAAAACCTTAAAAGAGATTCTTAATTCTTTAGCTAAAAGTGAAGTAAGTTTACCTTGTTTTAACTGGGTTTCATATCGTAAAACTCTTAGTAATGAAACTAAAAGTAAAATTGAAGTATTACAGAAATCTGAGCTTCGTGTGTGCCATTATCAGGAAAATGAAGGTAATTTAGCTATACATGACTGGGATGTTATTATTGTTCAGGTCAAAAGTACATATCGTCTTAATTTTCATGGGGGTCGTTCTCATATAGTTATTTTAGATGAAGCGAATGGTATTATGCATCAAATGGCAAGTGGAATCCATGCACGAGAATCTGAAAATGCCATGTGGGATTTGTTAAAGTCAGCTGTTCACGTGGTTGCCATGGATGCTTTTGCAAATGAGTCGACTTTAGCCTTCTTAAGACAATACCGGGGTGAAAACATCCGAGTTTTTGATAATAAGTACCAGCCACGTAAAGTGAGACCGTAAAAATCCTTTATGATTTAAATAAAGGTTCAGAAGCTATACGTAAAGGTCTTGAGATGCTTAAAGAAGATAAGCGTGTTGTCTTTTCAATGACCTCCTGCAAAAAGGCTCGGGCAATAGCTAATCAAGCATCTAAGTTACAAAAACTAGACGGTTCATGTATTTTATCACGAGTTTATTTTAGTCAAATAGATGGAAAACAACGCCAGGATGACTTTGCTGATATTAATGCTACCTGGAGTGGCCTTGATTGTGTAATCTATACAAGTACTGTGGAGTCAGGTATCTCGTTCGAAATTCCTAACTATTTTGATGCAGTTATAGCAATTAGTAATATTAAAACAGGAGTACACGCTGAAGCATTTACTCAGATGCTTTATCGAACTCGCGATTGCCCATATCGTATTGTTTCTCTTTACAATAGTAAAACATATTCTGAGATTTTTAAAGAACCAAATCGTGACCTTATTCGTGCAGAACTTTCAGCCTTAAGACCTGGAGATTTACCAACTGCAATAAAGGGGCACCGTGAATGGAACAAAATCGCTGACTGTTATATACTTGATTCATCTCCGGCAGTAGAAACCTATATTGAGGTTGAGTATCAGAGATGCTTATCTGCCAAATATTTTCTGGAAATTCTTGTAGTTTGATTGCTAGTACTGGTGCATCGCTAGAATTAATCGCAGTAGAAGATACCAAATTAGCTAAAGCTTCTCGTACAGAAGTATTTCATACTATTAAGAATACCGAGAAATTAATTAAAGGTGAAGATGCGGAATTAATAGTTAATGCTCCAGATATCAATCCTAATGAAGCTGAAATGCTTAAGCTAAATCCTGAACGTTTTTTTACTGATAATATAATCTTACAACATTATTATTTATGGAGAACATATGCTTCAGGTGATATTGGAGGTAAGGATGATATTCGAAACTGGGGTATGAATAATGATGACTGGATTAAACATTGTGACGTAAATTTTGTAAAAAAATTCAATAGTCCTGAACCTTTACAGCATTTTAAAAGGCTGGCATATTTCAGAAGACAAGGTTCT